CTGCACTGCTTTATGCCTTTCTCTCTTCAGGGAGTCTGCAGGATTGTCAAGCCTCTTCAAAAACATACTAAGTCATTAGTCATATGATTACAGATTCCACTATAACCCACATGGCAAGGCATTCACATCAAAGGTCTACAAGCAATTTAATTCTAGCAGTATCATAATGTATAAGTGCTTGACTTTACAGCTTCTAAAATCAAGGGATCTAAAAGACTACTCTAAATGTTTTTGCTGCACTCATCTTCTGCAGTCAAGCTGGAAATTCGTGTGTAAGAGCAGTGCCTGCTCCTGGCATCACAGAACCACAGGGGTCTGCAGGGACCTCTCAAGATGGTCTAGTCTGACCCCTATGCTTAAGCAGGGTCAACTGGGGAAGGTTGCCCAGGAGCATGTCCACTTGGGCTTTGAATATCTCCGCTGATGGAGACTCTACAACCTCTCTGGGCAGCCTGTGCCAGTGTTTTACCACCCTCACCATAAAAAAAGACTTCTGGTTCAGGTGGAATTTCGTGCATTTTAAACCCATTGCCTCTTGCCCTGCCAGTGGGCACTGCTGAGAAGAGCCCAAATCCCTTGTCATTCCCTCCCATCAGGTGTTCATACATCCTGGTAAGAGCCCCCTGAGCCTTCTCCAGGCTGAAGAGTCCCAGCTCTCTCAGCCTTTCCTCATGGGAGAGGTGCACCAGTGCGTTCACCTTAGTGACACTTCACTGGTCCTGCTTCAGTATCTCCATATACTTACAAGAAAAACAAGTTCTGTGAGCATAGAGACATGTGGAACTTGCACTGAGATCTACCTTGTGGTTACCCTGAGTTTGTCACTGTTCTAAAGGGCGATTTATTTGTTTGTTGAGGGTGGAATAGGAGGATCAGGTTGTTCCAAAGGGAGTGTTAAGCATGGCTGGCACGTCTTCCAGGGTAGAACAAAAAGCAGAGGACTTAAATACAGGGAAGCCCAGCATTTAGTGGGAACATTGTCATTGCCTTTTGAAGATTCTCAGTGTTGTATTGTGACAAGTGAGCTCATCTTTCTCAGCATGACTACCTTGGGCATATTTTCATTGCAAATACAATAAGGATATAAACATAATAGGTAACTAAAGCAGTCAACTGCAGTGCTGACAACAAATAGCTTCTGTACTTTAGTAGGTAGCTAACACAGTTGTAAAATCAAAGCACTGCTTTCTCATGTGGATGTATTTAAGACAGCATTTGCAATACATCCCATTCAAACCATACCTCAGATCAGATACTTGCTTCTTGGTTGCAGCAGTAACAGAAACCCTGAACATAAAGGGGGAAACTGCCAGTTTTCTTCCCTTTGGAAGGAAAAAGAGGTAGAATTCCAAGCTGGGACAGGAAGGAAGGTCAGTATTTAGTCTCATTTAGCTGCTTTCAGTCTCTAGACCAAGAGGAGATGGTATGTTTTCATATAGCTCTTCTGTATCTACTTCTAATCAGATGCAGTGCCACACCATCTTCAAACAGCAGTATCTCAGTGACTTGAGGAAGCCTCTGAGCATGGGTGTAGGTTTGGCTTTTGAATCAGGATGCTAGGAAAGCACAGATGTGCACTCAGATGCAAACTCACTCTCCCTGCAGACTTTGTTCCCATTATCATCAGTGAGATACGCAGCTATCTCCGACCCCATCCATGAATCAGGCTTAGTGTTCTGGATTACACCATCCTGTCTTTCCAGAGAGGCCTCCCATGCCCCTTGTACATTGGGGGATCGTTCATGCTCACTTTAATCTCTTCCGAATAGAAACCACCACCTGCTAAGAGGCCAAACTGTTCCCAGGGAGCCCTGAACTGCACAGTGCTCAGCTCCTTAGAAGAAACAAAGGGTGAAAAGGTTGGGAGGCTCCACTCTTAAGCCACAGCAGGCACAAACCTGCTGTGAGGAAATAGGATGTGCCAGTTAGTAAGCACAGCCAGGCTTGGGGGTTTTGCCAGTACATATGCTTCTGTCTGTAGGGTGCCCAGAACACACAGATTTTAGACAAAGCAGCAGCCACATACATTTCATCACACTGGATGGCTGCCCAAGGAGCCCTGTCCCGTGCTTGCAGGGCAGCTAAAGCAGTCATCCTTCCTGGACCACCATTCAAAGCACCCTGAGCTACTGTGAGCTCAAGACTTGAAGTCTTAGCTTGTAGAATCATAAGACTATGGAGAAAAATCTCAGCTTTCATTAGAAAAAGAGTAGTAGGTCCTGCAGCAGCTGGAAAACATTTGACAGTGTCACACCTATACCCAGAAAGCTCTGCTCTCCGATGCCCAAGTAGCAAACCCAGTCTCCACTCTGCTATTGAATGGGAAAAAACCCCAAACTGGGATGCTTAAGGGTTGCCCATACTACAGTAAGTTACTAGAGGTGCACTTTTAGCTGTGCATAAGCAGATTTGCTAGTGAAAATGAAAACACCAGCGTTCAGGTCAGCTGCCACCATGCCTTTCCTAAAGCTGGAGCCCCCCTGCTTCCTACGGCATGTCTGTCCTGCACTCCCTTTCTAGTTCCTCTACTTTCCAACCCTCTAGTTTGGGTTGGAAAGGGCCTTAAAGCTCATCTAGTTCCAACCCCACTCGTGTTTTTGAAGGAGTCTCACAAGCTTTTAAATGCCCTGCTCCAAAATATCTTCTCATATACAAGGGAGAATTTAGAGTCACAGCAGAGAAGTAACAGGACTGTAGTGTGAAATTAACCCATGTCCTTGCCTACAGATCTCATATGAAGACGTGGACCGCCTGAAAGGATTAGCTGTGATTGAGAACATGAGGGTGCCACACTTCCTGCAAGACCATGCCCGGTATATGGAGCACTTGGAAAAGATCATGCACGTCAATAAGCTGACTGATGAGGAGCTCCAGGATCTCATAAATTAACAGCATTAGCCCACCATTCACATACTCTGTGAGGATGTAGAACTGGACTTCCCAGAGCTTGCAAAAATGGACTTGAGAGGTGGGGCAGGAAGGGTAGCCAGAATATGTGGAATGGGGAAAAAGCCCCTTTATGTTCCTCTTGCATTGTGATTGTATCCTGGTCATTTTTTAAAGGGTTTGTGCATTTTTTTTACATTTGGCTTAGAAATTCCTTTGCAGTGACCTGTCCAATCATCTGCTCTGTTTTATACGCTTGGTATAGTGCTTGACACTGTCTTTTGTAATATACTGCCTTTGCCCACCCAGGTTTAGAGGTGGAGGAAAGGAGAAAGAGGAGAAATTCCCCCTTAGTTCACTTGTGTTTGCCCTGTCTTTGGTCATAGTTTTCATGGTTCATAGCAACAGAACTTCTGTAGATTAATTCTACGTCACCATCTGCATAACTCTTTACCATTTGGTCACCACTGCAATGAAAAAGAGAGTTTAAAAAGTCAGTGCACAGAAGCAGGTCTTTGTGCCATACGATCAAAGCTTTGTAATGCTAGAAAAGATTTGTTTGTTTGTTTTTACATGGGAAACTTAGCATTTAAAAAGAAAAACATACTGCTGTTTTAATCCCAGACTGGTTTGGGTTGAAGGGACCTTAAAGCTCATCCAGTTCCAACCCCTGCCACGGGCAGGGACACCTTCCACTAGAGCAGGTTGCTCCAAGCCCCTGTGTCCAACCTGGCAAGCCAGCGGCTGCTCCCCGGGGATGACTGTAAGCAGGTGGCAAAGTTATTCCCCTTCATCCCCTCAAAAATGTACAGTGTTCCACATCTTATCTGTGTAATACATGTTTCAGGAAGCTGAATTCTGGGGAGATTCTCCCTCTTTGAGGACAAGCGTAGCCTGACTAGGGAGTTCAACATGGCAGTGATTTGGAAGAAGGATCAGGCAGAACTGTGATTTCATGTCTTACATGTTTTAAGTAAATTCAGGAACACAGGGACAAGACTCAGCACCTCAGGCAACACCCACTTCTCTGGGTCACCTGAGCCTACAGATGGTGAAGTCAACTTCTTGAGCTGTACCTCCATATTACAGCAAGCTTGAGTTTGTCAGGCTCATTGAAGAAACTAGATGTGAATGCGGGAAAAGAAGACTCACAAGTGCCCTACTCCTGTGTTCCAACAGAAGTGCTGCACCACTCTGAAGCAACCTTACCTCTGTTTTACCTGCTGGTGCTATATCCAGAACCAAGAAGAGAAAGCACCTTACTGTAAGGTATGGCCAGACCCGTGATAAATAGCTTAGATGATGCAGGAGGACTTGCTACATAAACTGCATTTTCTGATTCCAAAGTATTATGGTATTACCAAGGGAAATTGAGTTTTGCACCTATAAGCATTCTGGCAAAGGGCTTTGTTTTAGCAGACAGCATTTTATCAGGGCTCCTCTGAACCCCTGTGAAGCAGTTATGGTAGGAGGCACTGGACAGGAGCTAGTGAGAGTCTTGGACAAGGTGCCATTTCTTCCCCTTCAGCCTTGGCAGGCTGGTAACAGGCCTGGCATTGGATAAGGCAAGTAGATGAAGCCACGTTTCCTCCCCACCGCATCTGCATGGACCTGAGCCCTGGTATCCCTCCCTCCCCATGTATCCCGTTCTTTAATGAAACAGATGGAATAAGCCTCCCACCCTATTTTACACTTAGGTTATTGCCAACCATGACAGCAAAGCCTTGAGAACATGTTTTCTGATCCATAGGAAAAGCTCTCAGTTGGCTAAGAGTTTTTGAATAACCCCATAAAAGCTGCTGCCTTTCTGATAGCATTGCAGGCTGGCTGCTTCAGGAAAGGAAATGCACTCAACAAGCATAAACTTACTGAATTTGGTTATTTTGGAGGCAGGGACCAAGAACTGCTCACAGTAGCCTTAATTCTATATTGTCAGTATTGTCCAGGAGCTGGAAGCTTTCAGCCTCCCTATGAAATAAAAGCCCTTCTCTCCTTCGCCCCTCCAGGCTGTGTAGTTGGATCACTGGTGACTTCTGTTTCAGAGCTGTGCTGAGCAGACGTGGTGTTCAGTGCTATAGAACCCCCGGCAGCTGTGCACCCACGGGCTCCAGGTTTTGGCTCCTTTGCCAGGAGCAGCAGGAAAGCCACACACAGCTGAGGTCGAGTCAAAGATTGCAGTCAAAAGATGTCTGTAGAGTAAATCGGGCAGAGACCATTCAAGCTGCACCACGGAAGAATCTGGCTCACTTTGCTGACCCAGGGGTGTGCCAAAGGGACAGTCCTTTGTGAAAGGGACCTTTTAGAACTGCTCTTCTTCTTACAGAAACAATCCCTGCCTTTCTCCAGTGACTTCTGCATAAGCAAAGTGCTTTTCCCTCTTCCCCAGTTGCGTGTATGTACATGATGTGTCCTTGAAACCAGGATGCTGTGCTAGTCACCCTGCTGTGCCAGGGAATACCATGCCTACAGTCCTCCCTCCAACAGCCAGCCGACTCTCTTGCCACTCTGTAGCCCTAACGACTACTACAGCCCTTTTTGCTTTACCCAGAAACCTGCATCACATTCCTTCAAAGCCATAGGTGCCATTAAACTTTTCTTTGTTATTCTAGGATTAGCTTTGCCTTGTGCAAGGTTGGAGCCTGGAATTGGTCAGTATCAGAGTGATACCATAGCAATAGATGAAGCTGTCTGCTCGTTTTGGCATCGGATTTGTCCTTCCTCCTTTATAGAAGCGTTCAGAGTTTTGAAATGTAGCTTTTTAAAGTTTTCCTGAACTTTCTTCTTCCCCTGGGAAGAGGCTGGTTACTCAGTCATGATACTGAAGCTATGTAACAAAGCATGTGGACAGCAGCACACATGAGCTCATGTCACTACACTGTGATGGTATCAATGACGTGCTGACAGCCTCTCCTAGCAGCCTGGCTCAGTTGCTTTGCTGTGTATCCTCGTTTCACTACTTCAGTGTTATTCCTGTACAGAAACATGGTCAACATTGGAAAAGCCTCCCTATTTCATCAGGTTAATTTTAAAATACATTTTATACAACTTATAAATAAAGAGAAATGAAAGAATGGCTGAGGTGAGAGTACCGAAGTGTTACCTCGTGTTGTGTGAGCGCGTTACTCTCTTTTGACAGCATTGGCTCTATGGCCACTCAAACACCCCATAATAATAATAATGTTATTGTCAGCGACCTTGCTCAGACATTTCTCTACCATTCTTCTTAGGGCCCTCCATGCTGTCCCTGTCTAGGAATGCTGAGCACAGATTCCCACAAGCGCTCCACAGTGCCAAGACCAAGGCTGGTTACCACGTGCTATGAACCTTCCCCCACTGCTACACCAAGATCCATTCAACCTGCTGCTGCCACAGCCTGGTTCTTGGAAGTTCAATCCGAGGACAGTTATTTAGCTGTGTTTAGCATCTCTCCACATTATTCCTCCTGCATCAAAACTCCTTTAGTTTTAGCTGGCTTCCAGCACTGCTTGGTGCAGCAACACTGCAAAGCCAGGTGACCAAATGGACACTTGCCAAATAAACCCTCCTAAAAAGCCCACAGGGTAAAGCAGAGGCTTTGCCCTGAAGCAAACAGGTCAAAGCAAATAGGAAGGGATGCTCTAAAAGCCTCCACTTGTGGGGAGCAAAGAGGAGAGGCCAAACACCAGATGTGCCCCCCTCAGCCCCGGTGAGCAGGGCACCGCTTTAAGCTTTTGTTCCAGCAGGTTCCAAAAGGTCATAACTCAACTTGAAATCCTGCTTCTGTGCTACCTCCCTGGTTCTGCCAGGGCAATACAGCCACGGAACACTGGGCTGGCCTAGCTTCTACTGTAAGCATCCTGAAGTAATTCCTATTGCTATTCAGGTTTGCTCCTGTGGCCGCAGGAGGAGGACAGCCACCACTTGAGCTTCTGAACCACCGTAACATGACAAATGCTCTTGGGAACTCCAGAATCCACCAGCCTTACAGCACCTCATCACCCTCCAAGCATGTCACACACAGAAGGCAAAGCAGCTTTTTAAAACCAGTGAAACTACCAAGACAGTGATTCCCAGCGTGAGGTAACCAGGTACATACTTCATACTGATGCAAGGCAGAGCTCCACCAGTAGGCACCAAACTCCTCTATCCTCCTCCCTCTGACGATGTAGGACCCATCTTACTCCAAGGCACCTTCCTAGTCACCAAATAATCACCTTTCCAGAGCTCCCCAGCAGTCTGGGCTATAAACCAGCCCCATTAATCCTCCCCCCAGCTCCCACATGGGTTATGAAAGTGGCTCTGCTCATTGCCCCCACCATCTATTAGCTGCTCTGTTAGCTCATTTCCCCCACCATCAATTAGCTGCCATGCTAATTGGCAGCTCATCAGCCAAAGCAAAGACCCCTCCTGCAGCAGTGAGTGCTGCTGCTTGCAGACCATCACCCTGCATTTATTTACACCTGCAGCAGATTGAATCCAACCTGCCCCTTTCCAGCTTTGTTTCTAGAGCTTTCAAGTCATTTCGGCCTTCAAACATACATATGTAAGGGAAAAGGACAGAGCAGCAGCAAGGATCCAGAATGAAAGCTGGAGCTAAGCTCTCCCCATGGCTTCTTTAATGACCAGGGGCAAACTCCTGCATCTCCCATTTTCAACAGGGAATGCTGAGTGCTGAGCGAGTAATTTGGTCTGATAACTCTGAGTCATTCACTTAACCTCTTCAAACGTCAATGATGCCTCCCTCAGTGTCAGAGTCACACCCAGCCTATTTCCCCTTCACCCAGGCTTAGTTCTGTGTACACTCTGTTTGCAGCCTTCAGCTGTGTGTGTCTGCATGTGAGTATATTCAGTCCTTGCCACCTGAAATGAGACAGTAGTTTAGAAAGTCAAACGTCAAGAAAGAGCTTCCTTTCTGCTCAGCAGCATCATGCGTGGCCACCTGCAGCCCGGAGCAGAGGGCACGGGGCTAGTGGGCAGCTCAGCACGTCCCACACTCAACCTATTTCTTCTGCAGGTGCTGAATTGCCTTTTCCAGTCCTCACATTTTTCCCTTCGTAGGTCACTGCTTATTGATCGCTGCTATTGAAAACTCTTACAAAGGTGGCAAGTGGAATGCTCCATCCCCACTGCTGCCGTGGCAGCTTGCTGCTGCAGTCCTCCCCAGCCAGGGCAAGCACAGCAACAAACCTCCTTAGAAGCAGACCCCATCCCTGCCTTGTGCATGGTGACCAAACACTGCATTCAGGCTCCCTGTTGCAGTGCCTGGACTTAGGCAGCAATGAAGCTCAGGAGAGTGATGATCCAGAGGGAGAAATTGAAACCCCCTCAAACAATTGATGGGCAAAGGTTGGTACAAAACATGCATCAGCCTTTGCAGTGACCACGTGAATGTCCCACTGACGTACCACCTATTTGTCCCCAGTGCAGAGTCTCAGCTCAACTCCTGGGCTAAGGCTCAGGGTTACATCTCCTCCCTGATGCCAGCTGCAGGGCCAGAGGAGAAGGAACAGAGATGCTCTCCATTGGAGAAGTGCATTAGGTTCTGTGCAGGGACAAGTCAGTGTTTTCCCAGCTCCTGAATGCTGACTGGTGCACACCAAAGCCAAGCTCCAGGAAGCCCTTCTGGGACAAAATGCACCCTGCCAGGAGCGTAAGGAGAAAGGAAGGGAAGGAGGATAGGTGCCCACATCCACATGGGGCTGTGCTGGAATGGGGCCTCTCCAGGCTGAGCCAGAGGGACCACTCAGGCCTCATATCAGGTCACACAGGGACCAGCTCTGGCACCTTTTGCAAGTGCTGAATGGCATTTGCAACTTGCCAAGAATTTCCACGTGTCTCTCTTCCTGGGGCTTTTTTTACTCCCTCATATGAGGAGGAGGCAAAGGAAAACAAGCATCATTTCCCCCCTCGCCCTCACCGCAAAGCCCCGCTCGGCTGCACTTCAGCAGAGACCCCGTACAGTATTAAAAGTACACTTTATTTCCTGTACAATTCTCATCCACATCTCCGGGCGTGGGAAAAGTCCTCTGTGTTCCCACAGAACGCTGCCATGAGACACCCCACGACTGTCCAGGAGGGGCACGAAGCCCTGACCACCAAAATCAAGTGCTGATGCTCTCTAGGCACGGGGAGGAGAGCGGGAAGGAGGGAGAAGGGGAGGAAGCCAGCGGCTGCTCCCCGGGGAGCAGAAGACACCCTCAAGTTCACGTCATCGTTCATGCTTAGCATGGGAGTCGTTGCGTTCCACCGTCACCCCGTTCCCGTTCCGCGTCACCTCCTTCCTGCTCCAGTCCTTTTCCAGGTAGAACTCGGCGAGCACGGGGCAGTGGTCCGAGGCCACCCCACCCCAGGACCAGTTATCAGGGATCCATGGGTTTGTGAGACCTTCGCGCACGACAGCCCAGTGGCCTGCATGGAAAAGAATCAGAGACAAAGGTATTGCCCACGTTCAACACGTGTCGCTGGCTAAAGGCTACACGACCTCCCTAAGGAGCAGCTCTACCTGTGAAAAGCTTTTTCAAGCTCCGGCTGATCCAGATGTTATCCAGTGACTTGGATCCTTGTGGGTTCTTTGTGCTGATGTTGGTGAAGGTGCTGGAAGGGACCAGGTGATGGAACTTCTCCTTCCTCAGTATGTCGTGGTCGCTTGTGTCTGGGGCCTGGTTAAAATCTCCCAGGATGATCACGTCTTTTTCTCCTAGAAAACAGGAAAAGCAGAGGGTGAACGGGAGGAATTGACCTCTGTTAAGCGCTTAAGTACAAGAGGGAGGGAGGATAAATGGGAGGAGGAAATATACAAATACTGAGTGGCAAAGCTGATTTTACTCTGAACTCCTGAAGGAAATGCTGTTTCAAGGCTTTTTCACTGCCTGTTTACTCACGACCACTCTCTTCATGACAACAAGAAACAGGCAGGACACATCTCATGGTTGGTTTTAAATACCACCTCTTTTATATCGATGTCCTTTGCTCGCTATCCACTGACAGCGACAGACTCAACGATAAAGCAGTTCTGGTTTCAGATGGCTTCAGAACTCTGTGTCTTTGTAAGCTTATTTATTTCCTTTACCTCGTTGTGACATTTCTCCCGAGTGCTGGGAGCTGATCAGAGCTCTCACAGCTCGATACTGCGCAAAGGCACCTAAAATCACCCCACAACTGACTTCAGAGAAGAGAACTATGAGAGTATGGAAGCTTCTTCCTTGCTGGGGCTGACGTGTGGGAGATGGGGATGCGCAGACGGATTGCTCTGCCGTTCCTAGCGCTCAGGGCTAAACCTCCTCGCCGGGGGCTGTTGCTGTAGAAGCAGCCAGGAGAGGGAGCGCAAGTTCAACAACAAAACCTACTCCTCTCCTGCTCTGCACTGACTTCCAAAACCAAGTACTTCAAACATGCTGCTCGCTCAGATGCAAGGAAAAGAGAGCGAAACTATTTGTGGCTTCTCTGCCCTTTGTGAGTCACAAATCGTACTGGAATTGACATGAGGTTTAACTATTATTTTGCTGCCAGGGTCCCTCCCACAGATTATACTGTCCCACAAGGACCCAGAGCATCCATCTGGTGGGACATGGTGGCATACTTCTCCAGATGTGATTGTACATTGCCTGCTAAGAGGCTCTCTCCACCTCTCAGAAGTCTTATAACCCTAGTGCCCAATGCATGGGTAACCCATTGAATGGATGGGAGAACACCCTGGTCCCTGGCTCCAAGCACTGGCTGCACATCTGGAATAGCATCTGCGTGCTGCACGCACTGAAGACAAACTGATGCTGCAAAGAGTTAGCTATGAGCAACCAACAGCCACCACATCTCTCCAAGTACTGAGGAAAGGAAAGAAATAGGTGGAAAAAGGAACCAGGACTCACTGGTCTGATAGGAGAAATACGGGGACACTAGTGTTCTACGTTACAGGAGGCTGTGGACAGTAACCAGATCTCCTTAGATGCTCCCGTGCCTCTTCGTGAGAATGAAAGATAACAGAGGAGGCATCCATTAGCAAATTTACTGCAGTACCCACAGATAAATCAGTTCTTATTACCCATATTTTATGGATTGACTTGGAAGAAACTGAAGGATGATGGTAGTTTTAAGCATAGCATTCATTTTGGCAGGGTAATGCACTACTTCAAAGTAACACGTGTGCACTACCGTTTGTTTAGGAAACAAGAGCTGCGTCCCACAGGTTTGGAGGAATCAGGATCTCATCTGTGAAAGACTAAGCCAGGAACAAGCAACGTGCCTACCACAGGAAAGTAAAAACATGAACTAGAAAGAAGCCCTAATGCCGACAGTCTAAATTTAGATGCAGTGGAAATGCAACTCGGTTGACTTCAGAAGAGCTACACATTTATCTGTGCCTCAGTTCAGCCCCTGGGGATTAAACAAATGATCTCTTTGTTTACCTTCATCCTTTCCAGTTTCAAGGTACGTGGACAAATACTTAAATCAGGAGCACTTAAAAATAGCTCTGACTGACTTCTTGCAGCTCAAAAGGGGAAGAAAAATAGCACACACATAAAACTACAAACACCTCTTGTGTTATAGACCAGGGATATTAATGCTTCCAAGTGACCAACCTTGCTAAACTGGTCCAAGCTGAAAGTCATCATGCACAGAACCTTGCAACCCTCTTGCATCTCTGTCAAGCAGTAAACGAAGGGCTAGATTTTTCTATGCCTATAACAAGATCAGCAACATTCAGAACCTGAAACGTGCTGTTCTGCTTCAGAGGAAACTGAATTCCATTTGCAGCTTCCAAGCAAGAGCCGAATTCTCAGAAATGAGGTAAAGAAATGCAGCTGCCTCGTGTGTTGCTCATGTGCAGATCTAAACTCTGGTGTCTCTCATCCTGCTGTAAAACCAGAGCAGCTGATTATTTACTATCAACAACATCATACTGCATATTAGACCCAGGCACCAAAGCAGGATTTGGTCTCTTTTTCCATTAGCATTGAGTTTTCCAAAATGCTTCCGGTTATCCTAAAAGTAAACATATAGAACCTATTTCTTTTGGGGGGGGGAAAAGCCATTAAGCTTTGTTCTGATATCAGGTGTGTCATTTCCACAAAGCACTTAAAATAGGGTCTTATCCCTGGTATCTTTTCCTCATTTTTGGCTGAACCTGCTCTTGAACGAGCATCAAATCAGAAGGAATTGCATTTGAAAAGATGCTCTCAAAGCCAGTAGGATCCCCTGTGCTGTTTGTGTTAATGAGGAAAGACTTCAAGACAATGAGGAAAAGAAAAGCACATTTGCCACACTGTGCAGCATTTAAACACATGTACTGGTAGAGATAACTCTGAGGCTGATCAGGATCATAGAATCACAGAATGGTTTGGGTTGGAAAGGACCTTAAGATCATCCAGCTCCAACCCCCTGCCACAGGCAGGGATGCCCCACACTAGACCATGTCACCCAAGGCTCTGTCCAACCTGCCCTTGAGCACTGCCAGGGGTGTTTGTGAAACTCACACTGAGACAGGTTTTACTTTATGTATTGAAATCCCTCTTGATGAGACAAACCGTCAGCGTGCGGGTGAGAACCGGCGGACACAACCCTGCCCTACCTTTCAGTGTCTCCTGCAGAGTCTGTGCAAAGGCTGCCAGTTTGTGGCTGTCGTGGTTCTTCCCGGTGTTCTCACCCACCGACAGGGCCAGGTGAAGGTTAACCACTGTTAGATCATTCATCCCAACCTGGGGGAGGAAGGAAGGAGGAGAAATCAATGCCATGCACTCAGGGCACAAAAGGTCGCAAAGCCAAACCACGCGTCTGTTCCCAGTGCTTTTGGGTGACTAGGACTCGCTTAGCCGTGTGTGTGGTGCAGTTTGGTTTGTCTTGGTCTTGGGAGGATGAGGGGGAAGGCGTTTTGCAGCTTTGTCTGCTCTAAGCTGATACCCTCCCAGGTCTGGAGGAACTGGTTTGCATAAGCAAACAGCTTCTCTGCACCACGGCTGCAGAAAGAAGCCAGCTGCGTATGCAAATCAGTTTATGCAAAACCAGTTGTTAATAAGCTACAAATAATGTTGTGGTCATTACATGGGCTAATTACTACTCGTGATTAGTCCTGGTCTGTCACAGAGACTAACCAAGAAACTTAATGTACCTTGAAAGGAGCTGTTGGCTCCATGCAATCTTCTGCTTACCTTCTGGGACTGACCTGGCATGAGTAATACTTACTCCTAATATTGACCTATTAACATTATTAATTAATATTAATAATTCATTTACTAATAATTAGTTTACTAATGCTTCTCTCAAAGCATTACCAGCGATGTCAAGTTCCCCAAACTGGACCCCTCCATCACAGCCTGTGCGGAGATGGGCTCTCTCTGCTTGGATGTTCACTCGAGCATATAGAATCATGGAATCACAAACTGCTTGGGTTGAAAGGGTCTGTAAAGCTCCTCCAGCTCCAACCCCTGCCCCGGGCAGGGACACCTTCCACTAGAGCAGGTTGCTCCAAGCCCCTGTGTCCAACCTGGCCTTGAACACTGCCAGGGATGGGGCAGCCACAGCTTCTCTGGGCACCCTGTGCCAGCGCCTCAGCACCCTCATAGCAAAGAACTTCTGTCTAATATTTAACTTCAATGTACCCTTTTTCAGCTTAAAGCCAGAGCATATGTACGAGAATTTCCCAAATGCACCATGTTCTTTTAGATGGGCTCAGCCTAGTGAAACAGCTTTAAAACGGAAACTCTGCAGTATGCCAGCAACATAAGCCTGAGTCTCTCAGGAGCACTGCGCTTTCTGTACTTATATATCTCTATCTGTATATCTATATCTATCTCCTTTCTGCCTACACTTACCCCTCTCCACCTTTCTATAACCAAGCCCTGAGACAGTGTTGAAATGATGAGCTAGAGCCTCACGCAGGTTTTTACCTGTTAGAAGACTGTGTCTCTTTCCACCTTTCCCCAATTTTTTAACCAGTGCTAAACAAGGGTCCCTTGGCACAAGAGCAGTTACCTTGAAATGTGCAAGATAAGGGTGAGGATACGAGTGCTTCCCATTGCCATTAGTCTGTGGACTCTCCTGAGATGAGGCATCTTTCAGTTCGATGCCAGCTGTAGTATCCCAGAGGAAGCCAGAATATTCAACTCCCTGGAATTACAAACAAAAAGAGAGTGAAAAAAGCCAGTAGTAAGAAGGCAAAACCAAACTGTTTGGCTAACCCTGAGCTCAGCGCCTCATGGTCTCAGTGGGAGGCTGCTGGGGCTTTGGAAGGCGATGCTGGGTGCAGTTGTTCCTTCTCCCCATGCCATATGCCATCTCACAGGCTTCTGTCACCCACGAACTGAAAGAATCCAGGCTCCTCCAGTCCCTTGGTGTGTAATCTGGTCTAGACCTCTCAGCTCTGTCAATCTGCTCTGTCTCTTTTCCAGCTTGAATGTTTCCTGCTCAGCTCTCCAATCCTTTCAGATCTTTCTATCATCCTGCATGGGGTTTTGGTTTTGGTAACTTCAGGATGTGCAGTTGGCATCCCGCCCTGGTTACACCAGCAGCAGTATCTAAAGCACCCCGACACCATCTTCCCTGGTATCATTCAAACCCACTTTCCCCAGTGAATCACAGTTAAATCCAGTGCAAAGAGGACTGTTTTCCATTTCAGCTGCAATAAACAAGTGTTATCTGCACTGCTGACTCCCCATGGGCCTTGGAAGAAAGTATTAAGGTGGCTGAAATCCTTTGGTAGCTACTTTAGATAACTCACCTTTAAAACACTGACAAAATCATTCCACCAGTCGGAAGTCTAAGGTCTGAAAACTGCTATAGGAAAAGATGTGGAAGAATAAAACTGCTGCCAATTGCTCTTTGCTATTTCCTGGCTCCAGATTACATCACATCAACACGGTGGTCAAAGTCAGTCCTTGGTTGAAGGCATGTGGAAGCATGAGCACCATCCACCACTTTGCATTATTAAACCCCATAAAGTGTCCCGGGATCAGCCTTGTACTCAGGGTTACACTATTACTTCACTGCATTGCATTCATGTACGTAGTGTTCCACCCTGAGGGACTCATTAACTAATCCAAGGGGTAGAAGGGACTTTCTCTTAGTGGAACAAGCCACAGCTCCAGCACAGCCAGATTTCTGTTAGAACAGCTAAAAGGAAGAGCCAGCGGATGACATTTCTATTGTTAGCTTGGCCACAGCCTTCCCCCTTAAGTCATTCTTACATCCCTACCAGTAAAACAAGGTAGATGATGGGCTTTATTCACTCAGCCCATAGTCAAAACTTTCATTGTTATCTTTGGAAATAGAGCTCAAGAAAGAACTGACTGAAGAGTCTGGAATTCACATAGAAACTGTGAGACAATTACTAACAGTTCTTGGAAAAAAGGAAAAGCACAGGGAACAGCTTTGACAACTGTGCAAAACTTTTTAAATGCAGTGATTTAGTAACCTGGCCTACCAAGAGATCCCAAAGGAAAACTCCAGCGAGGAAAACAAATGTGCTGAAGGGAATCTGCACCCTGCATCCGAATTGAGTGTGAATTGTGGCAAACCTTGGACACATTCAGGCACCCTCCATGCCTTCCTAGTGGTAGGTAGAACCCACTCCTTGTACTACTCAGGTGGTGGGTTTTGGTTAGGGTTTTGTTTGGGGTTTTTCTGCCCTCCTTTTTGGGGTTTACTCAGAAGGGCAATGGAAGGGAGTGCACCTCCCAAAACATCAGTCCAAAACCTAGTTAGAGACCTTGCTCTGAGAACTGATTAGCACCCTTAAAGGAAAGAAAAAGAGATTTTCCCTTGGGAGAGACTGCTTTTGGGCACTGTTAGTGGTGTCCAGCCCAGTGTAGCTATACCTTGATCCCTGACATGAGTAGCAGGGGTAGCTGTCACCACCTTATAAATGAGTACCTCATTGCAGTACATATATATACATATTCCCACAGCAGGGAGAAGCACAGTGCAGTCTGCCAGGGGCAAGACCAAGGACTCTTTCCTTATCCTAATGTGTAGCCTTTTTCTCCATTTCTGCACCATTTCTACCCACCGTATCTCCCCCCAACACACCCCCCTTCCTCCTTACAAGTGTGCCACAGGTTGAGGAAAACAATTCCTCCACACCGGCGAATCGAAAGCTCTAGGAAGAGCCAGCTTAAAACCTCGCCAAAAGAGATTTGCACAATGTTTTGCCTTAAACATCCAAAATATGTCCTTGGTTAGAGGGGAAAAAGGAGCAAAGGCAAAGTTCAGACTTGGGGATTAATGTACCTTGTGTAGCTGGCCTGAGGGCTTTTCGGAAACAACACCCTTCCAACATCCTCTAGGGCCCTTCCACTTGCGGATGTTTGGCAGCGTCGGCTGGTTCAGCTCCATACAAAACTGGAGAGAGGAAAGGGAAAAGGGAAAAAATAAAAGAGATTGGCTTTGTAGGGCTCAAAAAGAAACCTGCAAAATAAGGCATGGGTAAGACATGGACAGGCTGTGCTCCCTGCCCTCCCTGAAGGCTCGGGAAGGAGGTGGGACACATCCCAGGCTGACTCACCCCATGGACATGACTTGGAGATAAACAAAACTGAAAACAACTTAGTGCAAATGGAACTTTTCTCCCTCAGACCCTTTTTCACCCCCCTCCAAAGCTACTTTTTTGGCTGGAATGGGGTTTCCTCTGTGCCACCTCTGGAGATGCTGACTGGACCGCATCCCACCCCTTGAGGGGCTTCACGAGTGGCTGCTGAAGCCTCCCAGGGCAGGAAGCCCCCATAGTGTGGCTGGCTCCACTCCAACACTAAGGCTGCCAGCACAACACAAGAGGAAGGGTGTTGGCCAAGCTCAATAGCTGGTGTTTGGGAGATTTTACACCAGGGATGGCATATTGGGACTCCCTGTGCATGAAGGAATCAGCTTGTAACACAGATCCAGCAGATCCTCTGAAGTGCTCATCTTCCTGGATGCTGCTGTACAGCCACAGCACATGGACACCTTGATGTTTCCAAACACATGGTCAGAGCTCTAGGAGCTGTGTCCTAATGCCCAATAGATCAGGGATGCTGTAACTGTGGACACCATGGTGTCCTTTTGATTGAAGATGGAAGTAATATCTGGAACATCCCTCCAAATTTAACGGAGAAGGATTTCCAAGGCTGTGTATCAGTCACTGTCCACAGTGACTCTTTGCAGTGGTAGATGCCAAACACAGTTCAAAGCGCTACAGTGATATGTTTCCTACGTGGGTACCAGCAAAACGCTGGGACAGCTCTTCTCACCTTTATTTTACCTCTTGATTCAAAAATGAAATTAACCCCCTGCTCTCTCCCTAACTGCCTTGTCTGCAAGTTCAGCATCCCAGAGGCTAAAGCTGTAAGGACTGGCTTCTGAGGTACATGCAACCCAGCAACCCTTTTTTGCCTCGGAAGGCTGAGGGTCATTTTGGTCCCACACCCGAAGCAAAAATGCTTGGCACACCTTTTAAAAGAGTCTTCTGAACTGAAGACCTTGGCTGGGGGTCCTTATTCAAGATGCCATATTAACATAGAACCATAGAATGGTCTGTGTTGGAAGGGACCTTAAAGCTCCTCCAGCTCCAACCCCTGCCCCGGGCAGGGACACCTTCCACTAGAGCAGGGTGCTCCAAGCCCCTGTGTCCAACCTGGCCTTGAACACTGCCAGGGATGGGGCAGCCACAGCTTCTCTGGCCACCCTGCGCCAGCGCCTCAGCACCCTCACAGGGAAGAGCTTCTGCCTTAGATCCAACCTGAACTTACCCTGCAAATCGTTACAAATTCAGTCATCTGCTTCTTTAAACCCTACACATACAGAGCCAAAACTCACACAGCATCATACCAACAGCGCCAGGGTTTATTCACAAGCATGCCCTGCATCACACCTATGCCACCGTGGTCCCCCTTGCAGCTGGGTGCTGGGTTGTGTGGGACAGGCAGTGCTTCCAGGGAGCAGGAACACGGCAGCACCAGGCTCCAGGCATGCCCCTAGCAAAGACCAGCCTGTGCTCTGGAGAGGTCAACCCCCTTGTGCTGGGTACCTGCCCACTGCCCCCATTTGGGGTGCAAGGTGCCAGCAAGGGACAAGCCCCGTTGCCTTTGCTCATTAGCAACATGTCATTTTTCCTAAGAAGGGAGGATCCAAAGATGTAATTGCTCTTTGTCCACCCTGATAAAGAGCCAGTGCCTGTTGCTCCGAGCCCCTCCAGAAGCAGAGGTGGGTATAGGTTGAGCTTCTGACTTACACTGGAAAGAACGGAGAGCAGTTGGAAGAAGCTGGAGCAACACATATTTGAGGAGGGACTGAAGAGCGGAAAACAAGGAGTCTTGGACTCATCTGGGAGCAGGGAGAACAACATTTGCTGGGCTGGCACATGCTGGAGATGCCAAGGGAGTTACACACTCCCTAACACACCTACCTGCCTCCCTAAGACACTCCAAGCACTGCCAGCAAGAGCATCTGATTCGTGCATTAAGTTAAATCTGTTCCAGTGCAGTAACTCTGCCCACTAGGAACCACTACAGCCAGCACCTTGCAGTAGCCCCCGAGCTGATCTCACCTCCTCTTGTCCAGGACGCCCTGGTTAATCTTTGTCTTCTTTGGAGGGTGCTATTTGTGCAGCCAGCCCCAAAGCAGGCACTGCAGGGTCATCTTCTCCAGATGATGGATGACACCACTCCGTGTGGAACATCTTCGCTCATCAAGTGTTCCTCCCTGCAACACCAGCACTGGGGACCACTCTGAGCCAGCCATCTCCCTTGAGGTGAGCATCTTTTGCTCTAAAAGAGGGTGTGCTGCTCCTAAACCCTGAGGGAAACTAAATGTGACCCAGGAAAACAATGTCTTGGGGCTTAATCAATTGCACATTTCTAACGAGCCAGTGATTCCTCTTTGGAGGACGCTTTCAGGCCAGAAGTAAAGGTAAGCAACAACTCATTTAATCAAAGCGAAGGTGATTTTGGTTCCTCTTAACCAAGAGGAAAGAGCTAGGGAATAAATACTCCACTTGTAGGTGTCACCTTTACCTTTCACAGACACTAGAGGGAGCAGCTTTAATGAGTACCGGAGATGCAAACACACTTCTTTCAACTCGTTATCATTTCAGCTATGTTCAGGTGTCGCATTAGTAAAGGTTTGACATCGTCATGGTGAAAGAGCCTTGGAGTTTGAGTGTGGGAGCTGGAAATAGCTGAAAAGGAGACCCTGACCAGGGTAATGGTGAACTATAAGGTCAAAATTCGCCACCTTCTTCCAAATTGCAGGTCCTGGGTAAAGCTCAAAGAAAAAACCGGTATTTGTGCAGGAAAAATGCAAGTGGTCTGGTAGTGGGCTCACTGTCCTGTTACTTTGGAGGGACAGTTTATGGACTGCAGGAATCTGCAGGTCACAGGCTGGGAAACACCAAGTTAAAGACTGTTCTGAGCTACGGAGCATCTCCTAGTGATGGACTTGGTGCTTTAGGAAAAGGTCTATGATATATACCTTGTATGTTGTGCAGTGGTGCTTGAGGAGAAGCCCCCCCAACATAACACCCACCCTGAAACATGATTAATATATTTCTGATGAAGATACAACAAAATTGACAGTGACTTCATGAGACCATCTGGCACTGCTCTTTTTTAACCCTTCTTTTAATACCAATATGCCTTCTCTGCTCCATCACTGGGTATTGTATAAGCTAAAAAACATGGTCCTGGAATGCCCAGCATGTTCCTGCAGCTGACCAACACTGCATCTGCTTCCCTCAGGCAGGAGTAACTCAGTGAAGGGACATGGAGGAGCATCAGGCCCTTGGTTACATCTGGATTCTTCTATAACCAAATGTAACAGCAGGGAAGGAAGCATTATTATGGCTAAAGCATGAAACAGAGACTCAGCGCTGGATCCCGTTTCCCACTGATGACAGTGCTGTCTCAGGCCTTCACTGCTTGTTTGCCTTTCCCTCAGGTGTATATCCCTTTCCTGTTTGCAGAAGTAGCCAAAAACCACACAGACAAGACATAGATGCACTCAGCAGTGTGGGGGATGGACTCACAAACTCCATTCAGAGGAACCCTATTAATAACATAAGGGAAAATGAGGGTGGCCCTATGTTAAGATAGAACATTTTTCACATGCCCATTCAACCAGTCCCTCCTAGGAAGACTTCATTAAAGATTGCATAATATTTATTTCTTGTGCTGCTCAAGTACAGATATTACATAAAGGCAAATAAAACTTGGCAGGCAGATGGGGGCCAGATAGGCAAATAATTCCGAGTGTTTTCAAAGCAGAACAACCCCCTTCCAGGGAATTGGTTTCAGTCTCAGCCATATCCATGCGTTTATGTCGGAAAAGGTTTTCTACTTCTCCATCTTGTACCTAATTCTACAATGAAGTTAGAGCTGAATAAAAGAAACCCCAAAACATAAATATATATAATTTAGGAGAAAAATTCTAGGACTAAAGAATAAGATAAGGAACCGATCTGGAAATCTTTTCCAACAACGAAAGCTTCTCTGCCCCTTCTGCCATGCTGGTGTGTCCTGTTTGCAGGAGGTCATCAAGACCTGGGGCAATACCTTCCTATCCTTTATGTGCTGGTTTATTGTTCCTGTAGCTAAACCAAAACATCCAGCTTGATGTCCAAATAAATCCTTGCCATCCTCCATGTTCTTCACAAACACAATCTAACACATCCTTCAAAGAGCTTTACAAACTCATTGTGAAGTGAAGCCAAGGCAGAGCCCTTCAGCACAGCCAAATCCTCAACCAGTGTCTTTCTTCAGACGTACTACAGAATCTTAGGTATTTTAGGGCAAGAGGAAACGGCCTCAAGCTGCCCCAGGGCAGGTTTAGATGGAGCTGAGGAGCAATTCCTTCCCCAGAGGCATTGGAACAGGCTGCCCAGGGCAGTGTTGGAGTCACCGTCCCTGCAAGTGTTCACACCCCGGGTAGACGAGGCCTCAGTGCCAGGGGTTAATGGTGGCCTTGGCAGTGCTGGGGAACGGTTGGACTGGATGAGCTTGGATGAACTTAAAGGTCTTTTCCAACCAAGTTGATTCTACAGGCACAGTCATCACCTCTATGTGCCTTTACATGCTATGGACATAAAAGCTCATGGCTTTGGTGCAAAGACCACTTCTAAGCTTAATGCTTTAAAAAGGAAACCTCTGGGACTGAGCTTCTCAGAGGAGATGGGATGAGGAGGGCTCATTTTTCAAGCCCAGCTATACAAAGACTAGAAACTAAGTTGTCCAAGTCCACTCTGCCTGCATCACACGGGGGTTTACTCTGGGTCTGCAGAGAGGCACCACTCTGCTCATTTAAGAGCATGAAAGCAAAGCATCAGGGGACTGCCATTTAGGCACCCCTGGGGTTATACAGCAGCCAAATGACAT